CCGGACGTGGAGGTTCCCTCCAAACAGGCCGAGTAGTTAAAAGGGTCTCAGATGACCCTTTTACTTAATGTACTGGGACTCCCCAGAGGAGGGAGGGCACTTAGGCAGCACGGAAGGTTCCAGGATCTTCACCCTCTGTCAGCCCTTCCTGTACCATTCCCAGATTCTCTTTCCACAGATAACTCCTCAGCCTGTTCCCACAAGTTAGCTGCCCTAAAGACCTTTTTTGCTCTTTAAATGTGTGTTAGGCGACTCCTGCAAGACCCCTCATCCCCCTCCCACCCACCCCTCCCCGGCCGTTTAGATTCTAGGTATTTTTCACGTGGAGATGGTGTTCTGTCCACATGGGCTTAGGAGAGTATTCAGCGGCTGCAATTCTGGCCCCACAGAAACCTGCTGGAGGGAAAGAGCCCCAGGAGCCCTGGCAGCCAGACTTCACCCATGCCAGGGACTTGAGGGAGACCTGGTCATAGACCTAAGGACATCAGCTACAGCGACTCCAATCTGTCTGCTGGGGGAAAAGATCTCTGAAGTTGGGATAGCCTCGTCCTTGCGTTAGCTGAGGCAGCTCGTTCCACAAATAAATCTCTTGGGGACCCCTTTAGAAAATGTTCCTCAAAACCAAAATGGTGTAAACTGGGGCCTTCAAAGAGGTTCGTTAAGTTTGATCCTATGCTGAGAACATGCATTTCCACCCTTGAAGGCTGAATCCATCTACATTTTAACAAAATTCCTGGATGACACTCATAGACCCCCCCCACTCCAGGTGCCCCTCTGTGTCCATCATGAGGACCATGGGAACCTGTAGATGTTTAGTCAATAAACGGGCCTTGAACTATTTATAAGCCCTTTTTTGTCTTTAGTTTTGTTGTTTTCTTTTCTTTTGTTGCTTTGTTTTGCTCTGTCTTGTTTTTGTGCATATTATTGTCTCAAGATCTATCTAGATAAGATAGGCTGGATAAACAATCTGGAGGAGAAAACAATGGGACCAATGGTTGGGGGGAGGGAGACATAGAAGGGGTGGAGGAAGGAGGTGTGAACAAATTCAGGGACAATGAACAACAAGTGATCTAAAATCTATGGCGAGGAGGGTGTAGGAGGCCTGTTAGGACTTGATCAAGGGCAACGTAACAGAGGAATTACTGAAATCCAAATGAAGGCTGAACATGATAGTGGGACAAGAGGAAAGTCAAAGGAAATAGAGAAAAGAACTGGGAGCAAAGGGCATTTTTAGAGGTCTAAATACAGGCATGTACATATGTACATATATTTATATATGATGGGGAAATAGATCTATGCACATAATTTATAGGTTCAGTATTAAGGTACTCAAGTACTCCCTCAATGCAAGAACACTTTGTTCTATTAAACTGGCATTCCATATGTGGTAGATATATGATCCTTTGTCAATTTGAGGACTAAGAGTGGAAGGGCAGAGTCTAGCTTGTCAATCAGATCATAGCCAATGAGGCCTCTGTGTGGGCTTGGTCTTCTCTTGAGAATTCTGGGAAATCTGGTACTTCCTCCTTGGAGGTGGGAGACTCTCTGCTGACACCCTGGGAGACATAGCTGCTGACATGACACATGGACTCATCCTGATGCAGAGAGCCCTGCCAGCGCTGAGATGTTTCCAGGGACTTTCTACCCACTGGCCTGTGATCTTCTGCATTCAACGTCATCGCGTGTGTTTCGTGATGTGTTTGTGAGTCTGAAGAGAACTTTACAGATTGGTATCGGACATATGGGCTAGTATTGATCTTGTCTTGATCTGGACTGGGCTGGGATGTTTTCTCAATGTTCAATTGCTCTTGTATATAAACCTCTTCCTTATACACATATGTGTGTCAATGAATTTGTTTCTCTAACACACCATGATGCTCACCTTCCCCACACAATTGCTAAAGACAAAGCGGGTGCATGAGCAAATGTGGTGACGAAAGCTGATGATGCCCAGCTATCAAAAGATACAGCATCTGGGGTCTTAAAGGCTTGAAGACAAACAAGCGGCCATCTAGCTCAAAAGCAACAAAGCCCACATGGAAGAGACACATCAGCTTGTGTGATTATGAGGTGTCGATGGGATCAGGCATCAAAAACCCAGAACAAAAAAATCATATCATTGTGAATGAGGGGGAGTGCAGAGTGGAGCCCCAAAGCCCATCTGTAGGCAATTGGACATCCTCTTAAAGAAGGGCTGCAGGGAGGAGACATGTCAGTCAGGGTGCAGTGTAGCAATGATGAAACATACAACTTTCCTCTAGTTCTTTAATGCCTCCTTCCCCACCCCCACCCACTATCATGACCCCAATTCTGCCTTACAAATCCAGCTAGACCAGAACATGTACATGGGTACAGAAAAGAGCTGGAAACACAGGGAATCCAGGACTGAGAAACCCCTCAGGACCAATATTGATAGTAGCCATACCAGGAGATTAAGATGAAAGTGGGGAAGAAAAGGGGAACCGATCACAATGATCTACATATAGTCCCCTCCCAGGATAGTGAACAACAGAAAAGTGGGTGAAGGGAGACATGGGTCAGTGTAAGACATGGAAAAATAATAATTTATAAATTATCAAGGGCTCATAAGGGAAGGAGGGGGTAAAATGAGAAGCTGATACCAAGGGGTCAAGTAGAAAGAAATGTTTGGAAAATGATGATGGCAACAAATGTACAAATGTGCTTAACCCAACAGATGGATGTATGCATTGCGATAAGAGTTGTACAAGCCCGCAATAAATTTTTTTAAACTGTGTAGATTTTTCAGTTTTATTGACATGTAAATCACACACCATACATTTCAATAGCTCAGTCATCTTAAAAAGGGCTGTGCAATCATCAATGCCATCAATTTTAATGGAGACCTGGTGTGTTCAAAGTGGTATAAACGCACCGCAATCAGTTTTAGGACATTTTCTTCTTGTTCTCATTATTAGTTCTCCACTTGCCCCCACCTCCCCTGCCATGAGCCTCCAAACCTACCAAACTCTGCTGATTCATTTTGACCCCCTGTGGGTTTCTGACATTGTAACTCTTCACAGGAGTAGAAATCCCAGTCTTCCTTCCGCGGAGCTGCTGTTGGTGTAGAACCGCCAATCCTGAGGATCACAGCCCAACTTGGGTTCACTACACCACCAGGGCTCCTAAGAAACTATCCACCAGTTGTCTCCATAGATTTACTTGTCCTCGATTTCATATACAGAAAAACATACCAACAATCACAAAGAAAAACCTAAATGAAAAAGAAAGCAGAAAATTATGGGATTCAGTATCTCTGGAGTGGAAATGCACCTTCTCAGCAGGGGATTGAAACAGATTGAACTGGTTTGAAGCACTGGTTTAAATTACTTATGGCAAGATGTTATCAGATTCAATGATTCCTGTTTTGCATAAATATGGTCCTTGATCACCGTTTACAAATTCTTTAGAAATTTGAAAATAAATTATGAATTCTATAGTTGGGTGGGACTTAGAATATTTATGTTGATTTTATTACATTGCTGTCCCTCACAAACCTATTATGTGCCACATCAATGTTGTAAGCAGGTTGAAATGTTATTTGTAAGAGACGAGGTTGCTCGAGTAAGGCCAGGACTTTGCCTTTTTCACTCGGCTGTGACGGGCTCAGCACACTGTGTGCACTCTGTAAGCAATAAATAAATCAGTGTCAGGACTTCCTTTCCTCTCAGGCATCCTTCCCCAGCAATTTCCTCTGCTGTGGAAGGCAGATGGCATCAGTAGCAAAATGTTTCCTAGACCTTTAGTTCAGCAAACAAGCTGTTATAAACTTTACATTCGCAGTTCTGAAACAAACCTTCCCATCTGAATCACCTTTAAATTCAAGACCCTGCATGAAGAGAAATTACGTTGGGGAAAAAAATTTAATAAAAATGGAAGAAATGATCCAAACAGAGACATTCTACCCCATGGAGGGTTAGAATTGCCCTTGAGTGTTGTAGGACATTTCCCAGATCCTAGTTACATACTGTTCCAGTAGACAAGCCTCGGCTTAGGACCCAAGCTCTGCAACTTTCTAGCAATGTGACCTTGGCCAAGTATCTAATTCCTCTAAGCTTCAGTTTTCAGAACCTATAACATGAAGGGGAAGTGAGGAAGATATTTAACTCCTAGAGTTTGTTGTCGGGATCAAAATAATAATGCCTCGCTAATCAAAATGTGTGACGTGGACCCAGAAGTTCGTTTTAAATGCAGGTTCACGGGCCCCACCCCAAACCTGCTGTTGCTGTGGTTAGGTACTGTGGGTTCAGGTCTGATTCAGAGAAAACTTACCATATATACTAGAGTATAAGCCGAGGCACCTAATTTTACCACAAAAACTGGGGGGCTTTTTCAGCATAAAAAATGTGCTGAAAAAACTCGGCTTATACTCCAGTATATACGGTATGTACAACAGACAGAGAAGTACTGCCCGGTCCTGCACCGTCCTTACAACTCTTCTCATGTTTGAGCTTAATTTTACAGCCATTTTGTCAGTTCATCTTGTTGAGGGCCTTCCACTGTTTTGTTGCCCCTCTACCAAGTATGATGTCCTTCTCCCGGGACTGGTCTCTCCTGACAACAAAACTGAAGTATGTGAGACAGTCTTGCCGTCCCTGCCTCTCAGGAGCATTCTGGCTGTACTTCTTCCAAGACAGATTTGCTTGCTCTTTTGGCAGTCCCTGGTACTTTCAATATTCTTCATCAGCACCATAATTCAAAGGCATGGGTTCTTCGCCAATCATCCTTATTCAGTATCCAACTTGCACATGCATATGAGGCAATTGACAATGCCATGGCTTGGATCAGGGAGACCTTAGTCCTCAAAGCAACCTTCCTGCCTGTCAACACTTCAGAGGTCTCGTGCAGCAAATTTACTCAGTGCAATGTGTCTTTTGAGCTCTTGGCTGCTGCTTCCACGAACACTGATTGTAGATACAAGCAAGATGAAATCACTGTCAACTCCAATCTTTTCTCCATTTATGGTGGTGTTACCTGCTGGTTCAGTTAGGATGATTTCGGTCTTCTTTGAGTTGGAATCTCTACTGAAGGCTGCTCTTCATCTTCATCAGCAAGTGCGTCATGTGCTCCTCACTTTCACTCCTCACGACAAGGCCATGTCGACTGCATATGAAAGGAAAGCCTTCCTGCACTCGTGAAGCAGCACCCTCTCCGTGTAAACCAGCCGCTGATGATTTGCTCAGCAAACAGACTGAATAAGCATAAGAGGATACAACCCTGCTGCCCTTGGTGGGATTCAAATAATCTAACAACTGCTCGCTGCTCTAATAACCCTTTTAAGTATATAAAACAAATCTGCTGAAAGACAGTTTATTTTTTCATACAGTTAATACTTAAATCAGAACATTAAAAAAGAGGAAGGAATGTAAATGTGTGATTTCCACATTGGACAGCTGCCCAGCCGCCCACCTTAGAGGGAACTGTGATAAGTGCCATTTTAATAAATGGTTTGCCAGACTCAACAAAATATTAAGTATCAATTCTGCTGAATGTAAGCAAACTGGCTGAATCCCACTACTGCCTGATGCACATGTTTCCTGATGTTAAAGTTTGGTTCACACAACTGCCTCTGGATCCATGTACAGGCTGTGCATAAGCATATGAAGCATTCTGAAATTCCCATTCTTCTCAAGGCTATCCATAGTATGTTATGACCCACAAAGCCAAATACCTTGGCATTGTCAATAAAACACAAGTAAACAGCTACTGGGTCGGAATATTTTTAGTAACAAGCTCTCTGGATGATGTGTCTGCACAGTAAAACTTGAGGGTCACAGATATGCATAAAAGATGTGGCACACAGTACTTGTGTTAGTTACATAATCTGGTGTCAATTTGGGACTTGCGAGGATTAAGAGTGAAGGGGTGGAATCTAGTCTGTCCATCAGATCTTAGCCAGTGAGGCCTCTGTGTGGGCATGGCCTTCTCCTGAGAATTCTGGGAAATCCTGTATTCCTTCTTGGAGGCAGGAGATACCATCTCTCTCTTGGCTCACTCCCTGGGAGACATCCCTGAGGAGAAGCCACATAGACCTACCCTGATGCAGTCAGAACCCTGGACCTATAGAAGCCACGGGGAGACCCCTGCCAGTACTGAGATGCTTACAACGCCACTGGATCCACAAGACTTTCCACTCACTGGCCTGTGCTCCTCCTGCATTTGGTATCATTGCATATATTTCATGAGTCTGAAGAGGACTTAATAGATTGATGTGATAGGTAGGTTTATTGTGCCAACATGGCCAATGAACACATGTGAGATTAGTTGAAGGGTGGAGAGAGAAATGGCTTGGTGAGCCTCGTCTCTTTCTCTCTGGCTCTTTGATCATCAGACTACTGTGTGGCTGCCTTGCTCGTCTGTGCCTCCAGTTGCAAACTACACTATCTGTGGGATGCCTACCCATGGATTGTGTCCCTGTAGCTTGAGGTTCCTTCAAGACCTGCTTTGCCACCCTACTGGAAGGTACATCTCTTGTGCTGAGGATTTTCAGACCCTGTCATCTGGCTGACTCTTGGTGACCTACTGGCTGTTGGCTGCCTATGGCCGGATAGCCTGAATTGCTCCATGGAGGACTACCCCACGGCCCTCAGGACTTGAAGGACTGCCGGTGTACTAGGTATCTCACAGAAGTGAGTTGCACTGAGCCATTTATACTGCTTTA